TAAACTGTGTTATGCCAACTGAGCTAGATGTTCCCCGAGACCGTGGTCCCCACAGCCCTCCGCCCAGCAATTCAGTCCCTCAGGGAGTTTGGATGTGTCTATGGGGCTTCCATGACCTTTCTCAAGGCTGTGACTTTTTAAAGTAGATCACCAGGGCTTTCTTCCGAGGCGTCTTTGGGTAGGTTCAAACTGCCAATCTTTCAGCTAGTAGTCTAATGGTAGTTTACACCACCACGTGGCTCCGTTGGTAACAGTACTGGGTGGGGTACGATATAGAAAATTTCTTAAAATGATAAGAAAAAGATTAGAAGCCACAGACTACTAACGTGGAGAGTACCCAGAAAACAACTTTTATACACCAATTACTTTAATAATAAAGAAAATAACTAAAAATAGAAAAAGAAAAGTGAAACAAAACAAAGCAAGCTTCTATGCTCAATGTTAGTTCAATTACGCAAGATCTCAAGTTTGTATATCCAAAATTCACACAGTGCTGTTTTTAAAACCTGTTTTGGTTCCCAGATTGGCCCCAACGTCATGTGCAATCAGGGGAAGTAGACTGCACAGAATGTCAGGAAACAGATCTGGTCCAAGCTCTGCCTCCCCAACCATCAGGACTCTGCCCTAAGGGGTCCCATCGCTAAGTGATAAGGACTTTTCCAGTTCTCACTGGCTAAGGAGGCTGCAGGCTATCATCCAGGCTGGGAGATCTGACTCTTCTTTAAGCTTCAGTTTCCCTTGTATCATCCTTGTATAAAGCCCCTTTCCAGACGAGCAGCTTGTCCACACCTCAGGAATGTTGGTGGTTCCCCTCACTTCAAGACCCATCCTGGAAGATGGTGAAGGATTGAGCTCGCGGGAACAAGGAAGACCAAACTGGCTTTACCCAGGTCTAGGTGCCTGGTACATAGTAGTGCTCAACGAGCATCTGGTGAATGAATGAATGAGTTTGCTCACAGCTCCCATCAAGTGTACTCACAAAACACTACTTTTATAAACCCCAAGCTCTAGTCGAGAGTGGCCTATGTGTAAGCAACATCCATTGACATGTTGGTTGATACAAGTGGGCTAAAAGGGAAGGCAGACAAGGTGCTGAAAGAGTGCATACAAGGGAAACAATCGACCTTTGAGGGGCCAGGAGAGTGATGACTCCGCTGAGATGACAAAGATGAGGGGGAGTGACCCAGGCAGGAAGTGGGGACCTGGGAGCAGAATAGAATCTTCTGGGCGGAGGGAAACTGCATCTTTGAAAGCTGAAGAGCAAAAATGCTTCCAGGTAACTAACTCTTCAGAACAGCCAGAGGTTGTGTGAATGAGTGAGTGTGCAGGGCCTGAGGGGTGGGTGAGGAGGTGGGTTCAAAAGTCCTTTGAAAGGATTGTCCCTTCACTTCTGTTTGGGAAAGGAAGGGCCATTTTATATAATGCGAGGCAATATAACTTAAGTGTTACGAGCATGGATTTAGAGTCAGATCTGAATTTAAAGCCCAGTTCTGCCAACTACTAGCTGTGTGGCCTTGGAAAAGGACACTTAAACTCTAAGTTTATAAATCCATTAAAAATAAATAAATAAATCAGAGGGCAGTGGGGGAGGGAGAATATCCACCTTGGGTGGTAGTGTTAGGATTCGATGAGCAACTGCACATAACAGCCTGGCCCACTGCCACCAACAACGGATACTGTTCTTATTTAATGAGTGTTTTCTGAGGTCACTCTGGGCCCAATGTGCAAAATCAACTAGGGAAGGACAACTAGAGGCAGTCCTCCTCTCAACATGCCTGGAATACAAAGCAAAGCAAAGCAAAGCAAAGCAAAGCAAAAACAAAATGCCTAGATTTTATAGAACAAAAACTAGCTTGAGCAAAGCCCGGTTTCTGAGGTCCTCGACGCAAGGCTAAAAAAGAACACTGTTGACACGAACGGCATCAGCACTCATTAAAATCAAGTCCTTTGTAATGCCTGCCATGAGTCTAAAAGCTAAGGTACATACGTCCTAGATAAGTGGAACAATGTATATATCCATCCGTCCAGTCAGCATGATAAATGAATTCAAAGGGAAACCTTAGGGGAGATCGCCATTGGCCCTTACTGGTGAAGGAGCTGAACTCACACTCTCACCAGGGCAAAGCCAAAGAACTTGGGTCCCACAGACTGCAAGACACCTCTATATAAACCTCTAAGTGAATCACCCTTGTTGCAATTTCCTAAAAGACTTCTTGCACAATTGCTCACCACTAGAGAAGGGTTTCCATTTGACCCACTTGCATCTCTCTCTGCATGCAACTCTTAGAAGTGAGGGCACTTTCACATCAATGATTTATAAATGGTGACAAGGGAGTTCCTTAAGTTTCATTAAGAATTAAATCCTTTCTGCTTGACACTGTGAGAGGGATCAGTAGCACGTAACAGAATGACTGCTTTATGCTCCGGAACTGTGCTATAAGAGGGCAATGGTGGTTCAGTGGTAGAATTCTTGCGTTCCATGTGGGAGACCTAGGTTCAATTCCCGGCCAATGCACCTCATGGACAGCCACCACCTGTCCGCCAGTGGAGGCTTGCTGTTGCTATGATGATGAACAGGTTTCAGTGGAGCTTCCAGACTAAGATGGACTAGGAAGAAAGGGCTGGTGATCTACCTCCAAAAATCAGCCACTGAAAACCCTATGGATCCCACCAGTCTGATCAGTGACCAATCATGTGGATGGCACAGGACCCAGAAGCATTTCATTCCACTGTGCCTGAGGTCACCATGAGTCAGGGGCTGACTCAATGGCAGCCAACAACAACAACTGTGCTTTGATTTCAGAAATAAACTATTGGTGATGACACAGTTGAATAATATGGGGAAAGACACACACCAATGATTCCCTTTTATGTTGGTAGTCTTCATTTGCAAATGGTATGTTGCACAAACCAGGTATACGGGCATAAAGGATGCGGTGGAGGTTTAACCTCTTCAAAGAGCTCAACACCACTTTTTGGCTTCTAAGTCACACTACCCATTACCCATGCACTAACCACGGGGGTCCAGTCCCAGCTTGGGAATACCTTTCTCTTGATGAGGTTAATCTAGTTGCCCCAGAGAGAAAATCCAAATCACAGAAACAAGTGACCAGCCTGTATCTGCACATACTAAGTTGCTTTTATTAATCCAGAACGGCATGCTACAGATACTGTACAGCGTGAACATTTATTCATTACAAAAATGGCTTCCAAACCATTAAAAATGAAATTGGAATAAGAGCATAAAACGGAACAGTAACATCACAACTGTTAGGAAACATTCAAAGTATTCACAAAAAATGTTATAGTTAGCATCTTAATAAACCAGAGAAAAATTGGAGACAGTTTTACAATCGCTTCAGGTCAACTACAATGGCACTGAATGAACAGGTTTCAGCTTTATACAGCATTTTGCAACATCAACATGCCTAGGTTTTTTTTTTTTTTTTTTAAAGTTCGCCACCTACTTGTATGTAATATGCGTACATAGAAGCGGCAGCTGGGTTTTCCTTTAAGAGTAATCTAATATACAGAATTTTGGCCCTTAAGGGTTTATACCTCTTCATTTAAAATGCTTTCCGGACAATCTGCTACCAAGCACATCTTGTTATAGGTGACATTAAAACTACATACAAAACTACCTATGTAACGTCACAGCAAAACATGATGAACAAAAATTACAGCATCAAACAGAGGGAGAAAGCTAAAGTCACTGAGAATTTTGGCACATAAAGTTTTGCACACGGTCAGTCCATGTCCTATTGGCGCAGGGCGTTCGACTGTGAGTTCAAAGGGGAACCCAGGATGGTCCCCACTGCTTCTCAGACAGCATCGCTAAAATTCCCTCACTGATTTTCAAGTCTTATTTTATGTAATGGCTTTTAAAGCAACTTTTGTTAATGCTACTGATCCTTTAATGCAACTATTAATGTCCATTTGGCGGCATCTGGGTTTCATACAGCAAAAAAAAAAGAAAAAAAAAAACAAAAAACAAAACGGGGGAAAACAAAAAAATATATATACACATTTTATATATAAACTTAAAAACCTTGTACAAATGAGTCGTTATATATAAGATGCTTATGCTAAGGGGGAAGAAAACTTTACACAGTTTCAAGAAAAAAGAAAACATATTTAAAAAGAGACAACATACAGGTACAACAAGCAATCTCTAAAGCAATAAATACTACTGGTCCAACAGCGTTGTGATTCCATTAATTGTTGAGTAGCATCCCCCTCCCCCCAAAAGAACACCACCATGGAACAAGGTAATATTAACACATTTTAACCCTTTGTTTCTGTACATTTAAACAATAACAAGTAACATCACAATAAAAGTTGTTTCACACAGGAAAAAAAAAAAAAAGTAACGGCACTGCATTCATCGTGCCCTTGTGGTTTAAAAACCAGATGTAAAATGATTGGTTCGCAAGCTCGTATTTAATACAAATAATACAGAACCAACTCCTTCTGGAGGGCTGCTTCAAAATTGCTTCTTTTTTTTTCTTTTTGTTTTTTAATCAGTCTTTTAAAACTAAGCTATCCGAACTACATAACAGTTATGTATATATATATTTTTTTTAAACGCTACAAAGACTTTAAACAGCTGTTGATAAAAATTTTGGTAGAATCATGAGGTTCTTCTCTCATCTACATATTTAAAAGGAGAAATTGAAATAAGAATGGGTCAAATATTGACCAATGAACTCGATAAACATCAACTAATGTAGCCACGTGGCACAAAATTAAAGGGTACAGAACAGAATCTTTCCAAGGGGGAGGAAACAAAGAAAAGGCAAACAAAACACTAAACCGACCAACCAGGGCGCACGAAGCTAAAGCTACTCTAAAGTCTTAGTGACGAGGGACAGCGGCTGGGGCTGGGTCCCGGCCAGCGCCGTGTGGGAATGTAAGGAAGATGTCGACGGCTGTGCAAGAGATGAGGAGGGTGCGATGGGCGGCTGCAAAGAGGCAGGAGGCAGGTCCAGGGCCCCGTTGGGACAGAGGGCGGGGGCCTTGCCGTGGGCGGCCTCGCCGAGGAGGAGGGCGGGTGGCGGAGGCATCATAGACAGCTGGGCCAGGGGATCGGGCTTCAGGGACAGCGAGAGAGGCTGGGTCTGCTCAGTCTGTGACTTGGCATCGTGGGGTGGGGAGCCTAGCAGGTTGGGGGAGGGAGGAGGCGAGTCTAGTAAGCTTCCATCTGAAGAGGGTGGGCTGAGGCAGCTGCCTTCACCTTGTATGTAGCGAACGCACTTTTTTTTTCTCCTAAAAACAGGGGAAGAGAGTTATCTGTGAATAAAGGGTAAAGATGCCAAGGGAGAGAGTTATCTAATGCTCAGAGCCAAGTGGAGGTCACCTAGCCGAGGCCCCACGGAGACGGCGTGCCGGGTGGCCAGAGAACATTACAGCCGCACCGGGGTGCTCGCTCACTGAACTGCTGCCCACACCTAAACCTGCTCTAGAAAGCCAAATGTTTGAGAGTCCAGAACTCCCTATACCCCCCCCCCCCGCCAATACCCACAAACCCACCCCACAAAGTGGGCAGATGAAAGGACACCACCTATGGACCACGGCACCTACTTGCCAGGAATTGGCTTTGTCCAAATTGAGATTAACTGAAGAACTAGGTGATTTCTCTTTTGGCTTAGAAATGTCAGCCTTCCCACCACACTTCTCCCCACCCCCTTTCCGACCACTACCACCCTCAATCCCTGCGTGTGTATGTTTAAGAGAGAAAGACAGAGCTCCGTCCCCAGACGCCTCGTATCAATACGAAACGCTCAGAATGTTGACTGTTGAGCCCACATAGCTGAACGCAGTGCTAGCAAGAGGCTTAAAGGTTTTAACACACCACCACCACCACCACCTCGAGGCTGCCGGCGCTCAGAGAGCTTTCGGGCTTGTCTGTTAAGAACCACACCAAATCAAGAGAGGTCAGAATCAGGTAAGAGGGGGGAAACAAAATTAAAACAACTTAAAAGAACAAAACGAAATAAAACAAACCAAACCAAAACAAAACCACCAAAACAGGTAGAAGAGGATCAACAAAGGTTGGGGGAAGAATAAGAAAAACAGAAAATGATCCAAAGGAACAAGAATAACTGGTTGTATGGCCTGCAGGTTGTGGATTAAGATTCAAACTTGATTTTTTTTTTTTTTTTTTAAAGATTTGGGGTTTCCCATCCCCCACCCCAGAGTGAGAAGGTTGGAAGGAGAGAAGGTGAGGATGGGGGTGGAGGGGTGTAGTCCTCAGCAGGGCCCTGGCATTGCCAATCTGCCGAGGCTGGAGTCAGGCTCAGCACGTGAAGGGTGCAGCACAAACCCGTCACAGAGGTGACGACCAAGTAGACCTTCCAGGGAACCACAGCATGGACCTTCCGGGGGCTGGGTGATCGGGATTCGTTTTTAAACCAGAAAGACTAATTTTTGCACTGTAAGAAACAGAATCTCCTCCTTCTCCACTACCCTCTTATGGAAGAAATAGAAATGAAAATTGTAGAGCCTCTCTTGCTTGCTTATCATCAAAGGATGAGGTTGGGGAAATCCACTAAAGACACTAAGCATGGGACTTTGAAGCTTCTACCATGAATCCCAGGTTGAAGGGATATTATTGGTGGGAAAGGTGATCCTGGGCAGTGACCTCACTGATGTTATAAAAATAATGCAGATAACAGGGGATTTGCTGATCTAAGGAGCCCTAGAAATGTAGTCAGAACCATGGCTGGTAATGCTCCATCTAAAACTAAGTGCACGAGCACTGGCTAGCTTTCTGCCACTGGAAAGCCACCAAGATGCTGCCTGGTTGAGGGCCACCACTGTCAGACAATGTCACTGGCCTTTGAAAGGAAGGGGGGTATTGAGTTCCTCCTCTGTCTGTGCCCCAGAGCTCTGATCATGCTCCTCACTGTGTGGGGTGTGGACTCAGCAAGATGGCAGAAGGTAGGGAAGGAGAGGAAGGGTGGAGGGGAACATGCTCAGTCCTCCCTGCCTCCCAGAGGCTAAGACCCATCGGGCAGTGCACTCGGGGTCGGTCTGTCTCCTCCGGGTCAGAAGGGACTCTGCGGGGAGTGCAGCCCATGCCACAGCTCCCTTCTCATCCTCGATTTGGTGAGGAGGCTCCTTTAACTTCCCTAGACAGAATGAAATAGACTGTGGGTTCTGCCCCAATCCCAGAATCCAAGATAAATAATTAAGCCTCTGAGTTTTAAACCACCTTAGCCTGCAGATCAAAACATGCTCAAAGACTAAGATGTCCATGCAATTTAAAAATGGGAGAAGGAAGGGGATGGGGGGAGGGTGGCATTAGCCAAACCAAAAAAGCAACAGGGGAGAAAAAATGAAAGAGCAGAAAAGAAAGGAAAGCGGGAAAGAAAAGGAAAAAAAAAATCAGGGAATGACATCAAGCAGCATTCCATGCTATATTAGGGCAGAGTGAAAAGATGGGAAAAGCAACTTGGTGGGCTCAAAACAGAATCTTGTTAAAATGTCTTCAAATGTCAAATAAAATTAGAAACCCTGTGTAGCAGGCTAGGAGCCCTGATTGGCTGGGAGCAGTTCTAGTGTTCTCCTCACCCCTCCCACCCTCCTTATGACATGGAAGTTTCCATATCATGGGGATGAGTGGGGCATTTGGAACCCGGGCATGAAGACTATGAATGACAGAGCGATGGTCCTGCTAATGGGTGGCTTAGCAAAGGCAGCTAGAACACAAACACATGTTTGACCAGTCAGAAAATGCCTCGATTTGCAACTGCTTTTCTTTCTTCGTTCCTTTTTCTTAAAGCACCTTTTGTCCTATTGGTTTAGCATCAAGCCAGACATGGCAAAGTTAACTGGAAAAGTTGAGGAGTGAAGGCACAGGTTACTAGCTGTACAAACTCCAACTCGTAATCTCCCCCGCAACTGGGCTCCATATGTCCAATCAGAGGGTTGGCTTCTTAAAAACGGACATTTAGCTTCTTCTGTATTTGTAAATGTATTTAGTTTATTATTAAACTAGGAGTTCTTCCTGATCCTGTTCTGGAATGATACCATGAATTGTGCACCCTTAAGAGTGCACACAATGGTGTCTGTTGTAGAGTTTACAATTCATGAGAACTCTGTCTTTAATGTGCACCTTAAAAGACAGCAGAAACGCACTTGTTAGTGCTTTTAGCATATGAAAAAAAAAACCTGCCCGACAGAATGGCTGCTGGGAAAGTTCTAATGGTGCTGATGCTGGAAAGAAACCCATGGGTGATGAGGGCCTGCTGGACTCCGGCCCCTAGAACTAGAGGTCTCTCGGCATCTGTGACAACAGAAAAGTTGCCACGGATAATTAATTAGCCCCCAAAGCGCACTTTAGAAACATACTGCTAAAACATGAAGCAGCAGCTACAAAGGTTTTTTTGTTTTGTTGTTTTAATGTCAAGAAAACACTGTTCTCTGAAGGAAGACACCACACCCTGGCTTTGAATAAGATGTGGGCTGTGTCTTAGGGATGTCTGTCGTGGTCAGCGTTAGAAAGGGGTGGAAAAAAAGTCAAGTCTCACTTGCAGCAACTGCTTCTGAAACAAAAAAGGGCTTCATAAACCACCACCCATCCCACAATGAACGTACACACAGCAGGCACCCATACCAGCCTTATCGTGAGGTGCACACAAAGCTGTCTGTCATACAAGTCTACAACTCGTGAGAACTCTCTCTTCTACAGGGACCTGTGATCATTTGCCATGGCTGCGCATCTCTGAACAGGGCTCTGCAGCTAGTTATCTGCCTACTTGCATATATAAAATCCTGATACAACAAATTCAATGCCTAGACAGGGTTAAGTGAATTCCCGTCTTCCTTGTCTAAACCTGTTGCTGTCGAGTCAATTCCAACTCATAGTGACCCTACAGGGGAGAGCAGAACTGCCCCATAGGGTCTCCAAGGCTGTAAATCTTTACAGAAGCAGATTACCACATCTTTCTCCTGCAGAGCAGCTGGTGAGTTCGAACGGCCAACCTTTCAGTTAGCAGCCGAGCGCTTAACCACTGCGCCACCAGGGCTCCTTCTTTCTTGGCTAGTCCTCATAAAATATCCAACATCTCTCATCAAATTCATCAAACTCCATTCTGTTATAGAGAGAAAACACTTGGGCTGTACTGAAAGGACATTTGTCCCTTCTGTAAGCACTGCCATCTCACATCAAGACTGGCTGCTCAGGTACAAATTCTTCTCCTGTTGGGTGTGCAGCTAAGGCCCCAACCCTCCCCTCACCCGCTATAGGCAGAGAGTCCTCTGTGTAAGCCCATATTAATGAAGACTCCTCCTAGGTATTCTTCACCCTAAACGCTTGGTCAACAGAGGCACTTCACCAATCTCTCGTACCGGCATCAGAGAAGGGGGAGAGAGACACAGGAGACTTGTGGGCATGCACGTGATGTGATGAACATCTGATCTAGAGTCTAAACACGGAGCACATGGTAAAGGCATGGAGGAGAGGAAAACGTGACGAGGGAGGCACTACAAACAGGGGGCGTGTTTGGGGTGTTGAGATACCTACCATCATAATATTCCAAATTCAAAGACTGCTTGTATCAGAACAAAGAAACAACAAATTTAACCAAAGGTGGTCATTAAAGGAAAGGAAATGAGACAAGAACTAGTTGGCACCCCTCCACCAAGAAGGAAGTACCTACAGCCTTCCCTGAGATTACAAGTTAGGTGGAAACCTGCAGGTGGAACATGGCTGTTTAATTTGGACTCTTCTGGGCTTTTCTGATTCCTTTTGGTACCAATACTATATATGTCCATATATATTTGTTCAATTCTGCAGGCCTAGCAACGCTGCAGTTGGCGGCTACATGACTCACTGCTTGCAGCCCTTTAGCTGGTGCATGCCGTTCAATGCCACGCTTCTTTTCAGCACTGTAAAACAATGTCAGCTAGCCAAGCTCCTCTGAGCACAGACAGGTGGTTTTTAAACGCAAAACAAAAACCAAAAAACAAATAAAAGAAATAAGCCTGCCCCAGAGCACATCTCCGAGCATTTTGACTCCAAGTGCATGGGAATGCCATCGCTGCCTGCCAAGTGTTAACTCATTGATATCTTTGGCTATGGTGGCTCTATCTGCTCAGGACATACGCCGCCAAAGCACTCACAGGGCCGGGCCAGCTCCAGGACTCTGGCTCTCAAAGCCCAGGGAGAAATGCCCATCCTTGTTTGTTAAGGTTCTGGTCTCAGATCTACCACCAGGGCCATGTAATTTGTTAAGAGCAGGGGGGTGAGAGAGAAAGAGAAAGTGGGGAGAGGAAATGGCATAAAATTAGCAAGGAAATTTTGAAGACTGAGGATTTATTAGTCATTGATGCCAGTGGGGAAGTAGATGGGGATAAGGTCAAAATATATTGTCACACTAAGGTACCAGAAGGACAGAATGCTTTGATTTTCCCAAAGGCCTAACAGTGATAATATACCTGCACGGTTTGCACCATAAAGTCTGTCGGTCAAGCCCGAACAGTGCCCGACACTTCTTTGGAGTATTTGCATCTGTTAGCATAAGGTAAACACAAAAAATACAACACAGTGGTGGGTCGAGCTCAGTTGGAAGTGACATCTTAGCTACAGCTTATTTTTCTGCTACATCACCTTGGTTTTCTTTGATTTATCTTCCCTTATCAAGTACATGAAAGGAAAGGGCTTCTATGAGTCAAAAGGGAAAAAAAAAAAAAAAAGAACAAACAACAAAAACAAAACAATAAAACACAAAAGAAAAACAACCAAAAACCAAAAAACAACAATGAAAAACAAATTAAAAGAGAGAGAGAAAGGGAGAGGGAGAGGTGACGCTCTTTGCTTCTACCTAGGCCAGGATTACGGTGGACGTCACTGAGCCCCATCCTAGGCTGTCCTGAGGAAGGGGGTTGGCAGGCAACATTCTCTGGGAGGGGGCGCGCTGGGGTTTGCTGTCGCTGACCCGAGGAGGTACGAGTGAGGCTGTTTTACAGTGGCATTTTGGCTAGCAGCAGCAGGGAGAACAAGCATATCCCTCACAGAGCCCAGCACACTTGGCAGTGCCCCACTCCCTCGTGTCTCCTACGATCCACACACAGCTACAAAGCAACAGGGCAGAGAAGGGGGAAAGGACCGAATAGACCAGCTGCAAACCAGCACAGCGAATCTGGGAAATCTATACACACCTGCAAGGGCCGCACCAGTTATTCTGTTGATCAAGGCCAAAGCGCGCTCGGCATTTCTTAGGAGCGCTCAGGTCTGAATGAGTTCAAGAGAGAAGCGAGCAGAGGAAGTGGGAGAAAGGGAAAAGAGAGAGAAAGGAAGAGAGATGGGGGAGGGAAAGAGGGAGGGGAAAAAGAGAAAGATACAAATAAGAAAAAAATAAAAATAAAAAAAGGGAATAAATCAATGACCTGGTTACTAACGGCAAAATATTGACTTTCGATTTTTTTTAAAACTTTAATTAAAAAAAAAGAAAAAGGTAGAAAATCACATTCTTATTCAACTTATGAAATTAGCTGTTGCAAATAAAGCTGCAGTATCCCTTCTTTAAGGACTGTCTCTCAGATTTGGTTTGAGCTGATAAAGGGAAGTTAGATACTGAAGAACTAACTCTGAAAATTTTTCCTCTTTTTTGGTTTTGCCTTCCTTTTTTTTTTCTCCTCAATTTTTTTTTTCTTAAAGAAGAAAATAAAGCGAAGGAGGGAATTAAGTTTGTAACATGCTTTTTTCTTCTCAGAGTATAACAGTTTCAAAAAGGAAAAAAAAACTACAAATAAAAACAGAACAAAACAAAACAAAACAGGAAGAAATAAAGAAAGAAAAGGGTTGTGGTACTGGGATATTGCAGCTTTTGGAATGTTCATTGCTTCTCTTCCTGTCTATTTTCATTAATACTAAGAGAGGAACAGATAAAGGTATGAACAAGCTGTGTGAATGAGCTGTTAAGAGTTAGTTGGAAGCTCATAGCAGCATTTAAGCAGGCACAGTCAGTAAAATGCTAGTGGATTGCAAATTATGAGCAGAAAAGCAAAAGGAAGAAAAAAAAGAAAATTAAAAAAAGCAAAGGAAAAAATAATCATACTGCGGATGCATGCTTGCATGAGAAAACTTAGTGGGAGCGATGAAAAATGCCATTAGATTAAGGAGGTTTATTACTGAATTCCTTCCATTTTTTTTTTAACCAGTCTCTTTTAAAGAAATACTGCATATTCAATTTGCACAGTTAGTTCAACTCTAAATCACTGTCGTCACTGCTTAAACAACTGTTATGGGAAAAATAAATAAACAAAACAAAAGTTAAATTAAATTCAAAAAAATAAAAAAAACAACAAAAGCAACTGAAAAAAATTCTACTGAAACATATGTAGATGGTCATTTTAAAGAATGTTCAAATGTCATACGTGTCTAAATGTTAATAAAACTATAATGGCAAGAAAAATTAAAAAACAGTTTATCAACTATTTTAATGACTCAAAATGACATTAGCACCTGTAATCGGAGGAAGTGAAAGGCAAGGATTTAGGAAACATTCGCTGTGTTCTGAAAAAAAAGAACAAATTATACAAAGCCTTCAAAATTTTTTTTTTGTTTGTAAAAGCCTGGCCTTCTCCAAGGGACCTCTGAGATTGCCTATGCAGTATTTCTAATTTCTTCTAGAGAATGACAAACCTCCTTAATTTAAAATGGGTGCAATTTACCACTGTAAAGGCATGCATCAGAACATTCAGGAACAGCCCAGTTAATATCAAACACTCACACGCTCCTCCCCTAGCCCCCCTCCTCGGCCCTACTCAGACGCATACAAAATAAGCAGACTATAAATCCCGGCCTAGGCAAGCCTACGGCTCTCCAGTTACAGGCTTTGCAGTTATTTAAAAACACATTCCACTAGAATTACAATGTGCTTTTCATGCAACAATGAATGTTACTAGCTTTAAAAGGGCAGTCATGAAGCAATTAATTAAAATGCATAAACAAAAAGGCTGGCTAAGATGGGTTCCCCACAATGTCCTGGCCTTGGATTTCTCCTGCCGCCCCCAGACAGAAGCCTAACATAAAAGTGGTCCTCAGGTACCGCTCCTGCCTCCCTATGGGTGGATGGATGCTTGTAACTTACCATTGGTCTCTCCCGGCTGCTTATCCCTTTTCCTCTTCTTCTTCTTCCCCTAGAAGGAACAGACAAAACACAGGGCATTATTTCAAGAAACAGAGGGAAGGCAGGGCACCTGGGCTCGCCTGGCAGAAGGCAGGAGGAGGGAGACCCTACTATCTCCACTGGAACCTGCTCCCCACACTGCTTTCAAACTTCCACCTCTGTGATTCAAATGCTGCTGAACTGGATACCCACTCCTTAGAAGAAGAGAAGGGATTGGTAGGTAGAAAAGAAAAGAGCTCTTTTCCCACTTACCTATGTCCATCCTTGAACCTGATCCAGGGCATTTTACTTCAGAAAAGGGTAGAGGAGAACTGGAGGAGGAAGACTGGGGAGGGGTTGGCAGCAGCTCAAGAGCCCATAGCCACTGGGCTGCTTGGCCTGGGGGCAAATGAACACCGATGGCTACTCAGCTTAGACAGCTGCCTTGCCCGACACAGATCTCTTACTTATTAAGACCGATTTAGTCGGAACTTCGCTTCATGCTGAAGCATGGGTCTTGGTTTTAAAAGATGGGTGGAAAAAAAGGCAAAACAGAACCAGAAATCTCCTGCGCTTCTTTCAGAACTGCTGGGTGGGCATCCAAGAAAGAGGGGGCTATTCCCTCCATTCTCTCCTACCTTATATAAGATTAAGATAATACTTCTAGTCATAATAGCTACCATTTATAAATGACCAAGGAGCCCTGGTGGCACAAATGGTCAAGTGCTCAGCTGCTAACAGAAAAGCTGGCTGTTCAAATCCACTCAGTGGCTCCACTGGAGAAAGACCTGTTTCCATAAAGATTACAGGCAATGGTGAGCAGCATCCACGGTCTTAAAAGCCTGTGAGCAGCCATCTAAGATACTCCATTGGTCTCACCCCTTTGGGGGCAAGGGAGAATGAAGACAACAAGATACAGGGAAAAGATTTGTCCAAAAGACTAATGGACCACAACTACCACGGTCTCCACCAGGCTGAGTCCAGTACAACTAGATGGTGCCCGGCTACCATCACTGACTGCTCTGACAGGTATCACAACAGAGGGTCCCAGACAGAGCTGGAGAAAAATGTAGAACAAAATCCTAACTCACAAAAAAAGACCAGACTTACTGGTCTGACAGAGACTGGAGAAGCCCGAGAGTATAGCCCCCAGACACCCTTTTAGCTCAGTAATGAAGTCACTCCTGAGATTCACCATTCGGCCAAAGATTAGACAGCCCCATAAAACAAAACAAGACTAATGGGGCACAACAGTCCAGGGACAAAGACTAGAAGGCAGGAGGGGACAGGAAAGCTGGTAATAGGGAACCCAAAGTTGAGAAGGGACAGTGTTGACATGTTGTGGGGTTGTTAACCAATGTCATAAAACAGTATCTGTACTGTTTAATGAGAAACTTCTGTTCTGTAAACTTTCATCTAAAGTACAATAAAAAATTAAAAAAAAAAAAAAAAAAAGATTACAGATAAGAAAACCCTATGGAGCAGTTCTACTCTATCACAAGGGATTGCAGAGTCAGAATTGATTCAATGGCACCCAACAACATAAATGACCAAATAGAAACTCCTAAATAAATACTAACAAGGTCCCACGCAAAACCAAATCCATAAAGCTGCAACTCTGTGATTCTTGCCCCAAAGACTGCCCCAGGGAAGGAAAGAGTGTGAGTGTGTGTGTGTTTATGCCCACGTTTCATCAAAATACGAATCTGGCAGTTCCCCTTACGAGAGATAAAGTTTCTGCAGCCCGAAAATTTATTGAGCACATACTATGTGTGTTACATAGATTGCTTTATTTAATCTTCACAACAATCTACTCAACATCACTATTCCAATATTACAGATGAGGCACAGAGGGGTTCTATAACTTTCCTGAGGCCACAGAGCTAGCAGGTGGTGGGACCAGGATGCGAACTTGGGCAGTCCTGGTTCCGGAGCCGGTGCTCGTCACTACTAGGCTGCACTGCCTACATATTTAACGTCTCACCCGCTAAGGAAACTCTTTTTAAGTAAGGGTGATGAACTGCATGGAGTCATTCACAGTCTCCAACCTGATCCTCCTATATGGCAGCCTCACTAACACCAACACTACCCATAAGAGTTAGCCTCACAAACAAAAGGAATGTTTTACATTTCCATTTGCTTCAGAATATTAAAATAAGACTATCTTTGCCTAAAGAGTCTCATGGTATGCTAACATCAATTCTGGAACACAAAAGGACAAAGACAGGTTAAAAAAAAACCTTGAGAACCCCCGAGGCCCTCTAAGGAGAACCTCATGAAGCATTCCATGGTTTAGCGGCAGAAGTCTCGCCTTCCATGTGGAAAATCCGGGTTCAATTCTCAGCCAATGCACCTGAAATGCAGCCACCACCCATCTGTCAGTGGAGGCTTCATGTTGTTATGATGTTGTAGCAGAGGTTTCAGCGCAGCTTCCAGGCCAAGACGAACTAGGAAGAAAGGCCTGGCCATCTACTTCCAAAGATCAGTCAGTGAAAACCCTATGGATCACAATGGTTCGCTGTGCAGGGGGTTGCCATAAGTCAGAGGCTGACGTGACAACAGCAAACAACAAGGAGAACCTCAAGGCAGAGATGCCACACAGTTGTAGCTCCATCCAAGAGCCTGAGAGCCAACTGCTTCAGAGAAGCATCTCTTTTCTCTCAGGTCTCAGGGACAGCGCCACCTGGGAAATTTACCTTGGCTTTCAGTTCAGTACTTCTATTTGAACCATTTTATATTCCTTGGTATACAATGAATTTAAAAAAAAAAAGGAGTCTGTGTGCCTTCCGATGAGGCACACATCTCAAAAGCCTTTAGCACCCCATCTTTGTGCCTCCCCCAGGCAAGCAGCAACGTGTCCCCTGGCTGTGTTGAAGCTGCCTGGAGGGTCTAGTTTCAATTTATTTAGGAGCCTGCAGTCAAAACTCAACTGGGCACAGAAACGTTTCAACTTCAAGGCGTGTCAGCATTCATATATCCAAGGACTTCAAAGTTATCTTTAAGACAGTGTTCACCCATTTGCAATCTCTTACAATATATTCTGAAAGGCAGTTGAAAATTCCTCTGCCCATGGGAAGCTGTCAGCTGAGGATATGTAATTGAGATGCTCGTGACTGAGGAAATTATCGTTTAGACTAAAGGCTTCTAGAGGACAGGGGCTGTGTTTTAATAGGAAAGGCATATGAAGAAACTCAAAGAACACTATATAGTGAAGAGGGAGATGGGCTCAAGGAAGGCAACCACTCCATTACCTCTTTAAACGTATCGAAACAAAGAAACAGCCTAATATATGAGGGTAAGGAAATCAAAAACCAACTTAGATACACAAGTGGCCTGAATTTTACATCCTTTATCTAATCTGGAAGAGCTAAAAAAAAAAGTCCTAGAACAAGGCCAGAGAGACTGGGTATCACTATGGTATCAAAATGTTTTTCTTGTGTTCTAGAATGTGCCAAGTTTACTCAAATGTGACTATTTTACTCAAGCCTGTTTTCCTAAGGTAGCAATATAAAGACCTGTGTCATCAACACGTGGCTGGAAAAATATTAACATTAAAGAGGCATGAGGTTAACACAGAACACCTTTTCTTGAAGAACCTCTCGGAATTTATAATCAAGGCAATTTGTAGAAACTACTAAGTCAAGGCAGTTAAAAAGAGATACCAGTAAGGTCCTACTATAATCAAATCCATAAAAGCTTCAATTCTCTGATTCTTGCCCTACAGACTGTTCCTTGGAATATGGAAGGAAGGAAGGAGAGAGAAAGGTGGAGAGAGAAGGGGAGAAAGAGAGCGCACACACATGTTCCTAGCCATGTGTAATGAGTCATCATAATAGGAATCCGGCACTTCCTTTTACAAGTTTTTCTACTCTTAAATCCAGATCCACTTCTATGCTTTCTCTCAAGTCTTATCAAGAGTTCCCGTGTCATACCAAACATTTTCCCAATGTAAAACTCAGCTAACATCATTTCAACTGCCTCACTGGCCTTCTGAAACCTAGAAAGCATGTCACAAAAAGCTTCAGGCATTATTACGTCAAAACGACTCCCAGGTAAGCCAAGCGCAATCAGAAAGTCTGCCTTGTACTTTTGTGAAGATTGTATCTTGCACAAGTCCGGGGGCAGCATTCACACAGACCACAGTGTGAATGGTACACCCTAGAGTTGTGCAGTACACAGCCTGTGCAGCTGTACATGAAGCCCCTGCTATGACCCAATCTATCTACTGGGGATATGATACCTATAGCTTGACTCCTCTCTGGGGCACCATTCTAGATGACTCAAAGATTAGATCTGTAGAAGGCAGAAGCTAGAGATGAACTCCAAGAACTTCTAACTGGAAACCAGGAGAGCAGCTGTAGGGAAATGGCACGGCTGTGTGTGCAGGGGTTGCAGAGCCTACCTGCTGCTGGGAAGCTCCACCTTGAGGCCAGGTGAGGGTGAGCAGCAAGCCTGTGGGAAAGCACTGACTTTCTCATGCTCTTCCTTTCGACACTGGAAGACAGGGTTTCCTACTGCACACATGCTGGGGACAGATGGAAAAGGTCCCAAGCAGTTAAGACCCTGTGTCTGCCTGCCGGTGACACGGACACTCACTTCAGGAGGTACTAGCACTGATTCTGGTTTCAACTCCCAGGAGGGGTACAGTCTAGAGGCTGACACTGGCAACTGAGGGTGGTGGGACCTAGAGGGAGACGGGTGGGGGCAGTGACGAGGACATGGGAGTCAAGCCTGCCAGTCTCTGTTCTCCATGTTCCCTCACTTATACACCAAAGGGCAGACCAGCAAGCATGTGCTTTAAGGTATGAGAATACAAAGGAAGGAGACTTGAAAAAGCTGGTCAGAATAAGCAGAAAGTAATCTTCAGTTCGGGCCTACATGTCCATGCAGATGTTTGTGACTTTCTGATGAATGGTAAGTTCTGAGAGAGTGAGACACAGATCTGACTTCACCCTGAACGCCCAAAATACCTGTGCACAGTAAGTTCACAATCAGTTTAATAATTTCATGGGCCCCAACCCATGAACATGGAGAGCTTCAGCACAGACGATGTCGAGAGTAGGGCCAGGTGAGAAGAGCATGGGATGCCAAAGTAATCACCCGTGGCTCTGTGACACCACAAAAAAAGGGGTAAGACGGTCACTGACTGACCTTAAGACAAGAGAGTTTTCTCTGAGTCGATGGTTGTTATGGATTGAATTGTATCCTCCAAAAATGTGTGTCAATCTGGCTAGGCCATGGCTCCCAGTATTGTGTGACTGTCCACCATTTTGTCACCTGATATGATTTTCCTATGTGTTGTAAATCCTACCTCTATGATGTTAATGAGGCCAGACTACAGGCAGTTATGTTAATGAGGCCAGACTCAATCCACAAGATTAGTTGTGTCTTGGGTCAATCTCTTTTGAGATATAAAAGAGAGAAGTGAGCAGAGAGACCGAAAGACCTTGTACCACCAAGAAAGTAGTGCCAGCAGCAGACTGATGACAAGGACCTTACTCCAGAGCCAACAGAGAGAGAATGCCTTCCCCGGGAGCTGGCGCCCTGAATTTGGACTTCTAGCCTACTAGACTGTGAGAGAATAAATTTCTCTTTGTTAAAGGCATCCACCTGTGGTATTTCTGTTATAGCAGCACTAGATAACTCAGACAATGGTAAAATCACTTCATAAAACCCAGTGCCAGGCAATAAATTGTCAGGCAAAATAAGAGGCATTTCATCCATCTAGAGAGTAGAGAGAGTCCAGAACTAAGCTACTGTGCAAAATGCAGAATAAGTGATAATGGTGACAATGGTGGGAACTCACAGAGGTCTCTAACCAAAAAGGATAGCAAGCTGACGGGAGAAGAAGGATCTCAAGTGTCACAACCACAGCAACTAGTGAAAACAGTAATCCTATTGTTGTTTCTTGAAAACCAGGAGAGGAAATTAGGCAAATGGGGCGGCCAACACAGTAAGCATAGAACACACACATCACATAACACACACCAAGGCCCTACGCTGGCTGGGCCCTGATATCCTATCCATCCTGCCAAAGAACAACTCCCACTGGCTACTTTAATGGATATGCCCCTTTTAGGACAATACAGGCTTCCCCACTTGGACTGTGCTATGGTATCATAAGGTGATTGTTTTGTTTTTCCCTCTTAAGGGTGAAGACCCTGCTGGAAGACCTCTGAGGAATCAAACTCTCTCTATCACTACCTACTAGTCTTCCCTGTAAGACCACACCACCGATGGAGAGCACGGAGAGCTGGGCTGGTGCTCATGAGCCCCACTGGGCAAATCCTGGAGCCACAGCTCTCAAAGATGTGGACAAGGAGGTGTGGACAGCCCCAAATTGACCTCATCAGTCCCAAGCTGGAACCTGGAACACCAGCCTCCTCTGACCTCCCTGAGGAACGATGGCAATGCTGAATGGAGCCAAGCTGGAGGCCAAGACAAGACCCTTCAGTCCAGAGCTTGGGCGAGATGCTAACAGTCCTGGAACTGGGCAGGCCACATGGTTTCAGCGCCTGATGCAAGTCGGCAGTTACCATTCTCTTTGTCCATATGACACATAATACACCTGTACAGACTAGTCCTGAGAAAGGGACCCACTTACGTAGTTATCCCGTGCAGACCAGCCAGGGTAGAGCTGCATATGGAGTTGTCGTTCCTTCCGGGCTAGCTCATAGTACTTCGCTTGCTCTTCTCTGGACAGTGCATGCCACTGGGGGGGTACAGGGAGGAGACAGACATGCAAAAATGTCACAAACACACTATGGCCAGGGAGTGAATAACAGCATATCTTTTTCGGGTGATTCCATCCAGAAATGTGATCTGCTGATCCTGGCAATTTGCCAGGTTCTGGCATTAAAGGCTTGGCGATCTGCCTCCAAAAGGTCACAGCCGTGAAAACCCTATGGGGCACAGTTCTACTCTGACACACATTTGCTCGAGCCAGAATTGACTCGATGGCACCTGGTTTTTGCTTTTGGGCATTAACGCGAGTGTGCGGGCAAAAACTTGACTTGTCATTTATACTGTCATAATATCCTATCATTTCCTCTCTCTCTCTAGGGGTGACGGAAGGTTTTGGTTGTGTTGCTCTGAATGTTATCGGAATGCAGAGTTCCCGGTCTGACTCAAGGAAGGCCACTGAAGGAGTCAGAATGGGGCTGAAAGGGCTCTCCAAACAAGTGGAGACAGGGACGCTTTCTACCCCACACGGCGACATCATCGCCCATGCTTTCCCCTTCTCCCACGGCAGTGAGCCTACCCTCCGACCCAGGATCTGGTTGATGGCTGCACTTTCTTTCAACGTGCACTCGGCCACGACCTTTGCTCTCATTTCCTTCATATACAACATGAATGCGTTAAGAGGTTTCTTTATGTGGGGCTTCTTCTTTTCTTCTTCCTTTTTGGAGTCCTGATGCTTTCTGGATAGAGACAAAACAGACAGACACAACCCCGTAAAGGGTCACGTGGCCCAACTTCCTCCCGGGCAGAGAGCCCTCACCCGGCTCCTCACACCCAAACCTAGCAGTTTTGAATAAAAACCCTGCTTCCACTTTTGGTCTTCTCCACCCTGGAAAATGGAACAAAAATAGCCTGGGGAGGGGGTGGAGGAATCACTTCCTCAAGTTTCACAAATATACAATTTTCCCAAGCCAGAGGGGAAAGCACATGGTCGCCTTCTCCATCTTGAGAGGCGTCTCTTGTTCTTTCAAAACAAAACACCAGACATTCCATTACGGGGTGAGGGGTCAGGGAAGTAGTTGCAAATCCTAGTCCATCCAAGTGCATAAAAAAGGGAGTTCCGGTCTACCCTGCGGTAGGCGCAATCAGTAAAGCTCTGCCATGATCCATTTTCTCCCTCTTTGTAAGGAAGGAATCCCACAAGGGCTGGGTGTTTACTGGACTCAAACCAAGCCGGGTCAACCTCAGGTAAAGAGCCAGCCCCTGCAGCCACGGCTGCTCTATAGGGCTTGCTGGACCCTCTGGGGAAGAAGAAAGCGATAAGAGCAAAACTTACGAGCTATGCAGTGAGCCGACGTCACTCTGGGAGGATTCCTGTTTGACTGTTGGTGTGACTATGGCCGGGTGGGGAATGCCGGTAGTGTGCAGAGTATGATGTGGTGGGACCATATGGGGTGGGAACCTAGAAGACAGAAAGCTGTGTAAATCGTCAGAATAAAAATGAATGAATGGGGAGGGATGTGTACACACAATTTAAAAAAAAAACAGCACGTAACACTCACATGAAAGCAGCCCAAAGCCATATGAAACCTGTCAGCATTAATTAGCAATAAATTAAACATAATGATTCTCATAATGTCATTAAAGCTAATCTTCCCCTTTCATTATTGCTACTGACATGAGACATTACGATTTTTAACATCTTTAGCAAAAGACAAATTCAACTGATGTACTTGGGTGGAAAAGCATGCTTAGACTACCTGCTGGAAATCACACGTCCACTTTCTTTTTGAGCCATTATTAGTGGCATCTAAGGAGACAATTTCCTAAGTCCTAATCAGTTCCAGAATGAAAGGAGAAATCTTTTGTTGCATATCGACAGCTAAATAAAATATTAATGTGGCTGAAGTAGACACAGATTTTTGACAATGCTGGGCACGCCTCATTAGGCCTCATTCTGGTGATGATGGATGCAATAAAATTTTTATTTTTCTTTAGCTGTTGGGTCCTACCGTTTTGACAGGAATGAAGAGTGAGGCAGAGAGATGGGGGAAAATCCCAATATTTCCATTTTGGTTCTTATCCTAAATCACTAACATTTTTAATAAGTTTGTATCTTACTATGGAAAGAAGCAAGGAAAGCAGTACTTTCATACATGCAAAAATGAAACTTCAAATTCAATTTGTATGTCTTTTCCAGCTCAACAATTCTAGGATCTCTGAATCATTTTTACTTAATAACATGTTGTCTATGAACTAAAAGGCCTTCTAAATGATTATGAAAATTGTAAGCAAAGAAAAGTAAAGTTTGTTTTCTAATCTAGTGCTGGTTATTTTTAGCAAAGTTCTTTGAAACCCATTTTCGGCCCTGAACAGGCATTTCCCAGCCCTGGAAATTTGCCAGGATATAAAAAGCTCATTTCAAGATACTCTCTACCCATCTGCAAACTGATGACTGGACTTGACAAACAGCTTTCACGTTTTCTGATATGCTTTGGAGTCACCATGATTTATACAAGGTTAGAAGAATCAATCATTCCTCTTCAACTAGCTTAATACTTCTGTAGAGAAAATTAGGGTGAGGGGCACAGTGGGTAGAAAGCTTGGAAAAAAAAAAAAAGACAATGGCAGCCTCCTGCTCCAGCCTGGCCAGGTTATGCCAGTGAGTGGACTCGGCAGTTGCTCAGGTGAAGGGGAATCCAGATCACGACACTTGCAATGCTTTCTTAACAAATCCCAACCAAAATCAGCCCAACATGCCTTCCCAGGAATAACCATATGCTCTTTAAAGGATTCTGGAGGGTCTTTATTTTCAGCTGAGTCAGCTGGATCTTATATAGGGCCGTGTATGGGAACTAGAGGTACTACTGATGGTTTTTATCATAACAGTTATTTCAAAAGGATCCTGCATTGATTTATGGGGCTCTTTTCATAAGTGGACATAATGTAACAAGTGTTAATTTGGAAAATGATGAAACATTAAGGTACTAACTACATCTACGGAGATCAACAGAGAAAAGATCAATGAAGAAGACAGAGTTTTGAAGGGGGCACCATGACCCGGGATACTTGACTCGGAAATTACATCTCCATGGGGTCCTCTTGTGTGTCTTTCTTTTGCATTTAAAATTAAAGCCAATGTTCAAACTATGACATTTGGCTGATAAGAAATTAGGAGTTTTTAGGTGTGATGTTAGTACTCCGGTCATGTTAATAATCTTTTAGAAACAAACAACAACAAAAAAAATCAAAGCCAATGTTCAAAGTCTGGTAGCAACAGCATGTTTAAAAAAAAAAAAAAAAAAAGAATCATCTAAGTTCATTTAGAGTGTCCAAAAAAGGGGGGTGAGGAGAGATAAAACAAACAACTCCCATTCCCGCCCCACCCCCCAACAAAGAAAAGAAAAGGAAGCCCTTGGGAGGCGCCAGGGCTCCTGGGTTACTCTCGTTCCTTCCCTTTGCTCTAAGGCCTTGGAGGAAACATAAGTTAAGAACATGTGTTCTTGGAAGCCCTTGGGTGAAGCGGTGGGTGGAGTGGCAGCTTTTACTGTGAATTTTAAAGGCTTGACATTCCTCAAATACATATGTTCCCTTCCTGCAGAATGAGAATATGTGTACAGACATGGGGGGCGGGGGGGAGGGAGAGAGACAAAAGCTCTGTGTGCATGTGTGCGAGCTTGCGTACACCACATACCACGGAGAGACACCACAGGTTGAGTACATTTTGGGGTGGTGAATAATTTCAAGTGCAGCCACCAAGACCCAACACTTCTAACTTCATATACCTAACATCTGTATTCACACATTTGAAACACATACAGCAGAGAAATACGCTATAGATGTGGGTGTGGGTGTGGGTGTGGATGGGTGTGGGTGTGGATTGTATGCATACCTTTGCTTAAGAAATTCCTTTCTGCAGACAACTATTCCACGAAATGCAATAAACACCCTAAAAATTCTAAGCAGCTCGTTATATACCCCCATCTGCTTTTATGGCTCCAAGCCAGAATATAATGATGAACCTTAACTTGTTAAGGACAACTAATTGTTGTTTCTGGCTGTCTCAGGGGCTTCTCTCGTACTCACGCTCACTTTGCTTCACTGCTGACATGTTTCTGTTAACTGGATGTCATCTGCCGGCCTTGATTTTATGCACGAGCAGTAGGATGCATTTTCCCGTGCAACCATCCTGCTCTGAGTTGCATTAGATTTGTCATTATTCTCTCATTTTCCCCCTTGCACTTGTAACATTTCATCTCTTCCTGCCTTATTTTTTGTGAGCCACGGTGCACCCACATTATGGTTTATACATGATCTCACTCCCTTTGAAGCCGGCAGATTTCAGAGCCCGCTCTCGTCAGGAGAAGAGTCTTGCACCAATTTAGCAGGCTGAGGGCCCGGAGCTCCAACATCTCAATCTAAAGGGGGTCACAGGGTGGCACAAGTGAGTGTCAGCAAGAGCTGTTTAATTGCCAATCTAGCCTTCTCCATGGTGTTTAAAGTATAATGACCCATCACTTAATTCTGAGAAGTCCTGGCCCCGCTGCTGAATAGAATGAATATCAAAGGGTGTTCTGGAACAGGGCAAGCTGCCTACATTTCCTATGACTGCCATAAGTATAATAGACCTATACTTCTGTCGCCCCATTACCCCAATAATGTATTTAATTTGCTGTATATGCTTTATAACTAGCTACCTTTCATAAGGCCTACCTGGGGAATCGGCTGCCTCCTCCTGCACCTTGCGCCCCTCACCTTTCCTCCCACCATTCCCTTCCTCCCTTCTACCTCCCTGCCCACCTATAAAGCATCCACTGGTCTCCTAATGATAATTCAATTGATAAGCTTAACCCCAGGCCCTATCTTGCGATTACTTCACTGCTTTTAACCTCTGGAATCCACCAAATACACAAACATGAAAAATAAGCGGGTACGTGAGACAGATGCTGGGATGCAGGGAGGATGCGCTGTGGACTCTAAGTTGCTCAGATGCCACTCTCCTCCTGGAAGACTCCCTATTCATTTACATGCCTTACAAGGTTGTGATGATGTTATTTAATGAATGTAACCTTCCTCTTTGCAGTTGAGGGGAGAACACACAAGTGTTTTTCTCACCTAACCAATACCAGTGTGGATTCTGAAATATAGATGATTTAGCATACGTGGGAAATACATCTTTATGATTACATGATAAAATAACTGCAAATATTATATATGCTATGGTTTGTTTTTATTAATGAATATGATTCTCCCTCTCTCCCCCACAAAATCACTTTGTAAGAAAGACAAGGGCACCATGGCCTGTCTTCCCAACCCTTCCTCTGGTCTTGGGCTTCCCATGTTGGCCACAGAGATTGGGGGAGGAGGCCGGGGACAGCATCTTTGCCATGTAATGCATGCTAATTTAATTATGTGCCATCATCAAAATGGATTAGTTGCTTCAGCCCATCAGGAAAGTCTAAACCTCCACCGATTTAATTAACTTGACTGAAAATCAGATGAACAGAAAATAAAACTATCATTAGGAACAATTAGTGACTACTTAAACATACTGCTGCCAACCAGTTTGTAAATAAACTAGCAGTCCCTGAAAAATTAGCCAGAATTAATCAGAGATAGGAAATGGAGAATACGGGGATTAGAAAGATGTAGATATACATATGAGTACATGTATGTATATACATTTATATATACATATAAACATATATGAACGTATATACACACTTGTTTGCTTTTTTAACAACAGAAGATTTTTTAATTTTTAAAAGATATGAGTTTTTTAATTTTTAAAAGATTTACAGCTACACAGGCCGATTGTGGTAGCCACCAGCCACATGTGGCTACTGAGCCCTAGTCCAAATGTTCTTTAAGTGTAAAATTTATACTGGATTTAAAAAAAAAACCTCCTCGTGTCTATTTCTTCTCGCCTCCTTAATTTTTATAAAAATATTGCTCAGTTTAAATTGACTCAAAAATTGTACCTAAAAAGACATCACATCACCTACCTTGGAAATCCAGGGCCATGTTTCAGTATATTCTAGGAGTAAAGCCTAATGCTATACCATTTACACCATTAGTACTGGCAATCTCTGATGAACTGGTAGAGGTCTAGAGAACCTCCCCAGAAGGTATGCATGGCCTTGGCTGAAGGCTTCAGTTCTGGGACTCACCTGGACATGGAAGCATTGACGGTCAGAGCTGTTGGGTAGGGGTGTCTGAATCCTCCTGTCGTGATTGGATACACAGGCTGACCTTGCCTACAAAGAGGGGGATAAAAAGTGAGAGAGCAGAAATGGGTGGGAGTGGGGAAAATAAGAAAAGGGAAAAGTTGTCTACGCACAGTAAGCTTTATTCTCATTTGATTAGAACAAAAATCTTGGGGATTGTACAGGAAGGATCAAAGGGAAGAAACACAGAACAATTTGAATGCCATAAATCTGATAGGAATGGCTAATTAAATTTTATAACCTCTGCTTATGTCAATAGAGACCCTCTCCCCAAGCTGAAACTAGGTGTTTTGTTGTAATAATTAAAGGCGAAGTCTCGCTTGCTTTAATGGAGCCATCACGCTAATTGAGGGCTACACATCCAAAGGAAAACAATAATGAATGTAAATTTATACCAAAATAAAGTACAGTGAATCAAAGGACTTCAGTTGCGCTTTGGGCCTCTTTCGGTATTTAGATCTTGGTGAGAAAACATTAAATTAACAGAGCTTAATTTGTAGCCTTTTGTCAAATTAACAAGTGTTGACAAGAGTTACCGGGGGGGAGAGTCCCCAAGAAGAATTGTGGGTAACCAATGGACAATCACACCTCATTACAATAATTAAAAAATACAGCAACATGCAAAACAGCATCCTCATGAAAGACACACAACTTTTTCTGACAGAGGGCTGTCTGAGTTGGCTATTCCTTTTTATCGAGCCTTCAAATATCTCCCCATCAGCTGAGTGGGGCAAATGATGAGTGAGAACTGTTTAAGAAATGGCCCATCCTGTTTCAGAAGAAATGAGTCACAAGCTCATGTTCATGCCTCCTTTCCAAACAAAAATAAGGAGTTAAAAAATAAACAGAAAACTACCCCTAGGGTTGGTATTCTGTCTTGTTACTACATAGTGAAAGCGTTTTTGTCTCTTTTTTTCCTAAAGCATGGAATCTATTCCACTAGAGAAATAAGGGTAGAACTGGAAGCGAATCACTCTCAAAGTTTATTCTTTAAGGCTATGAAATGATGGTTCCCCCAAGACTCAAACTATAGGGTTTTACCAGGATTTTTTGTTTCTCTCAGGATTCAACAAATCATCCTGTGTTTTTTTAGAGAACAGAGATCACTGATAAACATGGAAAAATACATACAGAAAACACACAACCACAAAATACACATTACACACACACACATATACACACACTGTGTGCTTATACATTAAAGGCCTTTCCACTATGTTTGCAAAACACATTTTTAAAGTTGTCTAAGGACAGTTAATGGGTGATATTACTTTAAAAAGAAGACTGGGTGACAAAAAGACAAATTGAAAAAGGCAGTTGAATTATCTGGACACTGCTAGGCTCTGGGGCTGAGACACCAGGAAGTCCCCACATACTGAAGTGAGGGTTTGAGCCAACCCATCCCCACCCCTCATAGTTAGGTAAAGCATTCAAAGTGTAAAGAATTTCAGAGATGCTGGTTAAATAACATGGAGCTTCTCAATAGACAAAACTTTCCACTGTTGTTGTCAACCCTGGGAGTGAGGGTCAGGATGGGGCTAGGGCTTGTGGGGTTCGGAGAAAATAGTCCCCACTCCCACCCCTGGATTTCAAAACTAGGTTGCTCCTGTTCCCGCTCCCCTACCCCCACATATGCAACTCCTAAAAGGGATGACTCAGCTGCCTTGCTCAATGACAGGATTCCAGTCTGGGCTCTAAAATGGCGCCAAGTGTTCTAGACTTGGGCTCTAAACAGCAGCAGAAGAACAATGATCAGTTCCATTGGACATAAACCCTCAGAATCTTCTGAAATTCCCAAAGTATCTTAAAGGCACCTTTGTCCATGGAGTAGACCCTGGAGCCTCTGAGAACAGTGCATTCCAAAGGCTAAGTATCAATACGCTTTTTCCTACATAATCCGTCTGAATGGCTATTGACTTGCCTGCTTTCCCACAGGACACGTTAGCATCTTCCCCACGCCCTCCCACTGCCCTCCCTCCCCAACCCTGTCTTCCAAAGCATACACATACATGCACAGAATAAATAATAAGCATGCCCATGTAAAAACGAAAAGGAAATTAAAAAATGGAACTCCTTACTGTGGTACTAACCATCCTAGCGGATGGGGGATTTGTCCTACGGTGCCAGGCGATAGTGGGTAATACGGCGATATATCTGGAGGGTGCGGAGGCCGTGGGATTCCTGAGAGAAGAAGCAGCATTTTAAGTACAAAGGGGAGACAGAAGGGAAGAGAAACCATTGGGGATGGGAACAGGGGAAGGCTGAAGGGAGATATCTCTTCCATAATTCTAGCATGAGGTTCTTTTCATGATTATAAGACTTCTTGGTGAGTTTCAGCTCATTTCTCCTCCACTCTCGTTTGAAAAACTATCTCATTCTAGATGGACTGATACAGTGGTGGCACTGGACAGACTCAGAAAATGCCATCTTAGGTATTTCTGCCAATGTGATTGCTGTTGATGGTTTGAATTAAAAAAAAGTTAAGTGCTTGACACATAGTAGGTTATCAACTAACACCAAGTCCCTTTGCCCTCCTAATTTGTCAATTCGCCCTTTTAAATTCTAATGACTTCCTACCTGAGAGTTACTCCTCTGATTTCTAACATACTTTTTGAGTTACATCTTTTGAAAGGTTTCTCTTGCCTTTTAAAAAAAAAAGCTAACTCCTTTGGAAGACTTTTCCCTCACCTCAGAAGATGAATTGTAGGAGAAAGTGACCAAATACCATTTGACATTTTATCCAGGGTAGAATCAGAACTGAAGGGATGGGAGATGTTGGAGGCTTGGTATGCTTGATTCTAGAATAATCTAGTTTGCTGGAAGACAGAGTCACCCATGTGAATTCACCCCAGCAGACTAGGTACCACCTCTCTTCATGAGGCAGAGAATCTTCTGGAGGCACACATGAGTGAAGCCTGAAGGCACAAGCCACTGCGCACTTACTAATTCCACAGAGCACATCTTGTGATCCACTCTAAGAGAGCAAGAGGCTGGGAGCAATTTTGACAGAGAGGAAATGATCCCCACAGCTGAAGTAGGAAGCAAAATGAACAATACCATGGAACTAACCAGAATATTGAAAGGACTGAGGGGCACGTTCGTAGATGAAAACTGTTTCTTTTTTTTAATTCATTCAGGAAGTTTTTAATCTGTAAATTAAGTCTCCCTAGGTGACATTTTCATGCAGGCATCGCTTTCTCTCTTATTACAAAGACCAAACAGATTAACTGGGCTTGCACCATACACCGAGCCATTTGTACACTTGAAAGAATGTTCGCAGAGGAAAAGTAAACAGTCCACAGACGTTAATCATATGTTTTACGATAACCATTAAAAGCTATTCCCTGTACTACCATTATTTAAATGAGACGTTGATGCTGCCATTCACTCCCAGAGCTAGGGCTGGCTGGCGGCCTCCTCCGGCTTCCCCCAGCCATCCAAATGCAAGGCTTGGTCCCCACAAGCACAAAGGGGGCTCAGTGGTGGCAAGGCTGGTGAAAACCAGCTAATGTGTGGCTTCATTCAGGGGGAGCAAAGGCTGCCTAAAGAGACTGCCTATCTCAGCCTGGAACCAAACAATTCCCTCTGACAAAGTGACACCAAATCACCATTTAAAATTCATCCTTCTAATTAACTAGCTGAGAATAGGAACCCCTAGCTAGTTCTCCACTGGGCTGAAAAGACACACCCCAGCCTTACCCGTTGTCCCAAGACCACCCCACCACAAGCAGTGGCTGTTTGCTTGCTTTAAATCTTGCTGTAGGGGGCACTACGAGTAACATCACCTTTTGCCTCTCTCTTTCTCTTCCTTGGGGAAAAAGCAGTCGATGAACAAGTGGGACGGAAATAAGGGACAAGTAGAAAAGTTAGAGGATAAAGTGGCAACTCTGGCGATCCTACTGGTTGTTCCATGATGAAATTATGAAACCTTCCTGGGCTTTGGTTTTCACATCTTTAAAATGGGCTCGATAATAACTACCATCTTATAGGGGAGGGAGAACACAAATAAATCAGCAAGAGAACATAGCACCCAGAGATGTGGCCTCTGGAGGTGGCACCAACAAGTCACCATCAAGTGACTAGAGTCCCTTTGCTGCCAAGGGACCCAGGGCTCCGGGAGCCAGGATGTCAGGGCTCTTCTGCCCAGTAAGCTGAGAGGGAACCCATGAGAAGCCTCTAGAACTATTACGTCTTCTAAGTCTGATTTAGGGTGTTGGAGTTATGAGCCACTCCTGGAAAACACTGAGTGATTTATAGCGAGGTTCCCAAGGGAGTCCCGTCAAGGGTACTGGGCACTCTAAACAGATCTCTAGTGCTGCAAGTGGACTTTTCCCAATAGAGAGGCAATCTACTCCCTCACTAGGCTCTGGCCTCCCACAGAGCATTCTTCTCCACTCCCAGGAGAGGAACAGGAGCCCCTCTTACCACTGCCCTCCAATCCCACACACCCCACCCCTGGGCTTCCCATGGAAGCCTCAGCAGGTCCTCTGAGAGTCCCAAGACCAGTACTCTCTCAGCCCCCAAGCACACGGCCTACCTGTTTTGGGGTCTACGTCGGCTGGTAAGTGTGGAGGTGGGTTTCCTGGGGTGAAGTGTTCATTGCTGTACGTAATAAGAGGCGTGAGAGGGTGTACATGGTGAGGGTGCTGCACAACTGGCACTTTGTTCGACTGTTGGAAGAAGAACATTGAAAGCCACCGTCAAGCCAGTTCCCAGCACTTGGTTGCTCCCTCCGACACCTCCCGCCTTGATTTGAGAAGTTGCATTCAACTCCCCCCACCCCTAGCCATTTAAAAATAACAGACAGTTGTAAGCCAGCTCTCTCGGTTGGTTTGCTTCAGCTTTTACCTCCCCACTGAGCCTGGCTTTTAAAGTACCTTCTCCATCACCACCCCATCTTGGAGCCCAGGAGTTTGCACTTTTCCCATCTGCAGGTTAAGTCAGAAGCAGGTGACTTTAATCTCCCAGGCCTATGTGTTCCTGCATGTGGGGGGATCTCCTACCCAGGTCCACCAGTGGGACCTCCAGGAGGTGGGCAGACTTCATGGGTTCTGGGGTGACTAGGAAAACCTTCATTTACAGGAAACCTGGTAGGGCCCAAACCCATCCCTGCCAACCTCTTTAGCCACCCCCGCCCCACAGCTCCTAGCCCCTGCCCCTAAGAAATAGCAGGAATACTACAATCCATTACAGACACCGTGAATAAAAAGCCCCACTGTGGTTGGGAGCGTGAACTTTACCAGAAAGCTCTAAACTGCCAGGCAAGCACCTGCATATTTTATGCAGATTACAGCAAGCCTGATTCATTAGGAATTTCATTAGGAAGTCATGGGGGACCACTAATAAATTAACTGGATGATGATGAATTGGGCTAATAAAAGGTATGCATTTTAGAAATAGGCACTTCTAGAAAGCAAAGTACAGGCATTTTTATGTTCAACAAGGGTGGGTACAAAGAGAGAAGCAGAGAAAAAGGAGCGCGTTTTAAGATTTTTCTGGTTGCCCTGACCAGGCCTTCCCAAATTATTCTCCTCTCTTTCCCCCACATGACCCCACCCCATCTCACCTCTCCTCCACTAGGCTGTGCTGTAACTTAGCCCAGCAAGATCACAAAGAAAAAATTAAGCCGAAACAAGCCAACTACTGGGCCATTTACTGAGAGTAATCCAATTGCAAAAAACCCTATTCCCCATAGAGGATTTTCACTAAAATCCTACAACAGGGACATTTAACCAGATTAGGTACCAGCGAAGATAAAGAGGCTAGTATTAGATGATGAATGGATTAGAGTCAAGTTTCATTTCAGAATGTGTCTTCATTTCCTTTTATTACTTTTAGGGAGGCACAACTTGCATTAACATCAAGGAAAAGGCACTGCATTAAGAGAAAAGAGGTAAGGTTCTAGTGCTGCCCACTAGCGCCTCTCTGGTTCAGGGACCACTGAGCAGTTCTTTGTAGTTTTTCTTCTTGTCCTTGTTTTCCTTTTTAAATGGTCTAGGAAGGGGTATAATACAATAGGAGCATTGCTCACCATGGTTAATTGCAGGGAAGGCATCACTAAAGGTACTTTTAACTTTTTCATGGGTATGTTTGGAAAGAAAAATATGCCTTTACTAGATGTTCCAGGAAAAAAAAAAAACCTACAGAAAAAGAAGTCAACAATGCCAACAACCTGGTCGATCGGCTCCTATAAACAACTGGACTCTTTCGGAGAAAGAGACTAGCTAGTTGCTCACAAGTATCTCCTGCTGTGAGTTACCATTTTGGAATCACTGTTAAGGGCCATTGAGTCGATTTTCAACTCATGGCGACCCCACGTGACACAGTAGAACTGCCCATCGCATTTTCTAGGCTGTCATCTTTATGACTTGACTCACAGCAACCCTATATGACACAGTAAAACTGTCCCGTAGTGTTTCCAAGACTGTAATCTTTACGGAAGCAGATCGCCAGGTCTTTTCTCCCGTAGAGTAGCTGGGAGATTTGAACCACCAAACCTTTTGGTTAGCAGCTGAGCACTTAACTGTTGCGCACCAGGACTCGTTTTGGAATCACAGCATTTAAATTAAAAGCAACCGAAACAGAGGAAGCTTTGGAAACCAGTGACACCCCCTCAGTCAGCAGCCGTCCAGGTCTCGGCATGGACAGTACAACAGGGTTTAGGGCTACTTGAGAAGTAACTAACAAGAAGTTCCCACTGTGTGCTATGGTGGAGCGAGAGAGAGACAGACACAGACAGAGTGGAGACCATTAGGAAGAAGGGAATAGGATTACTGCTGCCTTCCAGAAGCTTTCCATTTAGTTAGGAAGATACATACCCTCTGACATGAAACAAAGAAAACCAGTCCTGAACAGTGTAAAGTAAATGCGGAAAAACAGTGGGGCCAATGGGAAGAACCATTAGCTCAGAAGAGGAGGACTATCTTCTGGGTAGGGGGTCTGCCATAAGCAATGGAAGGAAGCAAGAGTAAAAATCTGTGATGGGGTTGGAGGGATGACAGGCAGTGAAACCTACAGTTCTCAACCCTGGTTGAGTCAAGCATCTCTTGGAATGCTTGTTACAAATACCGATCCTGGTCCCTACTCCTAGGAACTCACTCTCACTAAGGACTTCATTCAGTAGGTCTGGGCTCAAGCCCTGGGCATCTTGGGTCTGCCCGTTAAGCACCTTGGGTGGCTCTTCTGCTCAGCCATGATGGAGAACCCCTAGGCCAGAGAATCACATGGATACAGGCAAACACAGAGACTTCAGTTCTAATCATGAGTCAAGTCTTAGCTTTTAGAGAATACGTAGAGAGGGCTTAGCACAGTACCTATAATTCATGGTTAAGAACAGGATTAGTGGTTTATTGTTGTTATCTTTACTGTTATGGAGAAGTTGTATGAGATGGTTCTGTCTGCAGTACAACACAAAAATTCCTTAGCTGTCTTCTAAGGAAGACTAATAGGAAATGGGAGTGGGGACTGCCTTCTCTGCTTGTATGGTGAAGGACAAAGACAGCATGTGGGCAATGATGATGTTAACTGGGTGTGGGATTTAAAAATTAATTCTCCCTCTTTCTCTTAGATACATCTATGAAGGTGATTCTAACAGAAGTTGTACCCTGTTCTGGCTGCCGAAGACCCTATACGATTGAACACGGCCAGCTAGTTTTTCCTGTTCAGATGAAGTTCTGTAGCTTTGGAGGTGAGAAGTTTTAGGGGCAGCCTGGCTTTAGGGGAAAAAGTGGGGGCCCTACTAGAACATGGTTCTCTTTTCTGATCTTGATTCCATGCCAGCCAGGCAGGTCCCTGTAAAACAGCATAACTACACCTCTCCAAGTTGACTGGTTCCCAGGCAACAAACGGGATTGTGGTCATACCTGCAGAAACCAGGGTCTAGTTGCTGCTCCATCCAACCTGCCTATACTGGGTTGCTTTTATGGTTGGAGGATTTTCTTTATATAACATGTTATGCTTTGCATGAAATTGCATATGCACTTGTCTTGGTCCCACCATACTTAAGCTCCTTATGGACAAAGACTATGTCGTCTAGAACTTTGTGTCCCCTGGAATGCCTAGCCTCTGAGAGTGGTGGACACAGTATCGTAAATGGTGTAAGAACAACCAAATTGCAAATACAAGCAGGAGAAGAAGAGTACGGAGCCAGTCACACAGACTTCTTTTGCATAAATGGCTATGCTCTTTAAATGCAGTCTACTTGGTCGCTATGAGTCAGGAATTGACTCAAGGGCAACGGGTTTAATGGGTTTTGGAATCATAGACCAGAACTGAGCGACCCTTCAGAAACCATCCAGTCCAATACCCTTAGAACCATCATCTCAGTTACAACAGAGCCTTAAAAGGGGCTTTAGAACCCACTGCATGGCACACAGTGACTAGAGTGAGGACTGTGAAAGCAAGGAAGTCCCAGGTCCAAATTCTACCTTGCCAATCTAGTAGTGTGGCCTCTCTCCAGTCTCCACTTCTATCTTTGCAAACCTTACAGGGTCATTGTGAAATTAAATGAGATTGTGCATGTAAGTGTTTAGCACAGTCCCTGGCACACAGTTAAACACACAACATGGAGAAGCTTTAAGCTATGTAACGCAATGGATGCTAATGATGAAGTTAGCTATCCCTGTACAACAAAACAACCCAATGCTGTTGAGTTGATTCCAACTCACAGCGACCCTATAAGGACAGAGTAGAACTGTCTCGTAGGGTTTCCAAGGAGTGGCTGGTGGACTTGAACTGCTGACCTTCTGGTTAGCACTCAAGCTCTTAACCACTGTGCCACCAGGGCTCCAGCTACCCCCTCTAGTCTCTTCTAATTAAACTCACAGGCAGACTTCACTCATTATTTCAAACATAAAGATGTTCATTAGGGACGTGAGGCAAGAGTGTAGGGATGTTTTGTGACCACTCTTCCTCAGGCACACACCCTTCTTAAAAATGTGATATTTAATTAATAAATGTATTTTAATATATCTTTTGAGAAAACCCATCACTTTATTATGCTCATAAGTAAGAAAGCCACAGAAGAGTTGACAATTAAACAAGAAGAGCTGAAGGTGACCAATGTCCTTTCAGAATCTGGGTGAGCCGATATGGATGAAACACAAAACAATACAAATAGAAAATGTTCCTTAGAATTCCCCCTTCTCTTTGAACAGTTCTCACTTCTTTGAAGAGATCTTTAAGGATAGTACTCAAAACTGTGCCAACCCTATGAAAATTCAAATGTGAAAAGTACTTAAGTTTCATTTTTTAAAGAAAGGGCAGGAACACAGACAACCTTCCAGAAATGCATCCATGGATTCTAAACGGAAGCACAATCTAGACTGGAGGAGTTGATGGGGTAAACAGTCTACAGTATGTATCACCTCCCCTTTTATGTTTTTAGAAACCAAGAGTCCAGTGTTCAATGCAATCAACTGCAGCATAAAACCAGGTGCCTTTCAGGTAACTACTTTATCTAAGTATGTCTTCAAAACTACCTGGAGGTACAAAATCATTACCACAGGGACAGCTAACTACTGTTCAAGGTAGTGGTAGTGGTGGTTGTGGTATGCAACGTGGAGAATCTGTTATTGGCATATAACTAACTCTTTGAGAATATGACAGAAACTATGAATGTTTGCTTCACAAAAACAGCAAGCATTCACAAAAATCCACAGCATTTCAAGGC